CCTGGGCTAGTGGAAGGTGTCCCTGCCCATGGCAGGGGGTGGGAATGAGATGGTGTTTAAGGTCCCTTCCAACCCAAACCTGTTCCAAGGCTTTCTGGAGATGCATCACTGTCTCCACTAACAAGTAAACACAATGTTTGCTGGTAGATACCATATAAATTGACTTGATATCATCGGGGATTCAGATAAAAGTTGAAATTTTCAGCATTCATCCGCCTCTACTTTTGATATCAAGCACGTGAACTTCAGCTTCACTGTTCAGTTCTATTTTAGATGACAGCAGTCTCTGCAATTTTATGATATTCCTTCTTTATGACACATGAAGAAGACCAGAAGACATGGATTCGGTTCCGGTGTTCGTTCTGCCTTGGCTTTCATCTCAGATGTATCTGAAATGTCCGGATGGTTTCTCTGGATGACTCACTTCAGATCTGAGGGAGCGAGTGATGATCTCTCCCAGCCCTTTCTGAGAGGAGAGTGATGAATCTTTAATGATGACACTTTTGTCCTCAAGGCTTCCTCAGGTGTTTGAATTAAAAAAAAGTCACGAGGAAATTTAAACAGTTCTAATGTTTTAAACAGAAGGAAATATAACTTACTTCCTCCGGTAGGAATAATGCACAGAAGGAGAAAAGGGCTTTAAAAGGAAGGTTTAATGATGTTAAAGACATTGTATTAACAGAGTGGTTGCTCTGATGGCTGACCCTGCAGCCAAACCATTGGTGTCCTTTTGCTTCCAGGTTCCAAGTGGGGAATTTGAGCATTTTTTGGATGATCAACAGTGCTGACTAGGGAGCTGTAGGAATCCTGGCTGCCATGGACATGGGAGGGAGCCCAGCTCCCTTCACCATTCTCGTAGATGCTCATCTAAGATCAGCCAAAAAGATAATTTTTCTGTCGGGTGGAGAAGTTTCCCTCTTTTCATACAGTGTTTATGTTCTGCAGTGCTGTTTTAGGGGGTTTTGAGGGAAGTGCTGGAGGTTCCTGGAGGCTCTGGAGGAGATGACTGGGAGGTCATGCTGGTGGCTCAGAGGGACGGGGGACATGAGAGATGCAGAGCAAGTAGGGCTTGGAGCAGAGCAGAGGAGACCAGGAGTGCTGACACACATTTGAAATTTGTCAGCATATGAATAGTAAATGAAGAGAATATGCAACTTTCATGACAAAAACTGGAGATGAGGCCAGGGCCAGTGGTCTGAAGTCATTCCATCTCTGCCCAGTGTCACTCTGGGTGTCAATCACGGAACTGTTTAGGTTGCAAAAACCCTCTAAGATCAAGTTCAACTGTTCCCCCAGCCCTGCCAAGCCCATCACTAACCCACGTCCCCAGGGGCCACTCCACAGGTTTTTTTGAACACTCCCGGGGATGGTGATACTACTGCTTCCCCAGGCAGCCTGTTCCAGTGCTTGGCAACCCTTTTGCTTAAGAAATTCTCCCTAAATTCTAATCTAACCCTCCCCTGATGCAACTTGGGGCCATTTCCTCTTGTCCTGTCACTTATTCTCTGGGAGCAGAGCCTGACCCCCACCGGCTCCCCCCTCCTTGTCAGGGAGTGGCAGAGCCAGAAGGTCCCCCCTGAGCCTCCTTTTCTCCAGGTTGAGAAAAGGTTGAGCCCCCCAGCTCCCTCAGCTGCTCCCGGTGCTCCAGACCCTTCCCCAGCTCCGTTCCCTTCCCTGGACAAGCTCCAGCCCCTCAATGTCTTCCTTGTAGGTAATTTATCATCAAACAACATCCCCCAGCAGGGCAGTCTGTATGTGTCCAGAAAACACCTGAAACACTGGTAAAACAGCATTTTCCATGGCCTGTTCCTCTGTGTCTCTCAAGTTTTGCACAGAACCTCAGCTTGCTCCAGGCTGGGCTGTCCCGTGCGTGCCAAATATTCAGAGGACGCTGTTTTTCAGCAGCACCCTCACCTTTGTAATCGATCTGTGTTTCAGCAAGCTGATTTACAAGTACATCTTTTCTGAATCATTATCTGAGCCGGCTGCCAGTTGGCCCGAGGCAGAAATCCAGGCGCTCGAGACTGGGAGAATCGGTTCCAGCTGCACTCCGTAATTAGGAAAACCCTGGTCCGGAGCCGGATGTCCAGATGCCTTGCCAAGGAGCCTATCACTTGGTTCAACAACCAGTGTTTTGAGGGAGGGGAAAAAAAAAAAATAAAAGAAAAAGAGGGAAGATGTAACGAGACAAAGGTCACATGCCAGCAGTTGCTTCTCTATTCCTCGTTTCATCTCCCGCGTGTGAGCTGGAGAGGTGCATCACGGTGGGAAGGGAAGGCCTGGGGAGGTTAAACAAATCCATGGGATTTCAGCTTGGGTAGAAATAAGTTTCTCATGCTCCCCACAGAGATGGAAAGTGCTTGAAATGCCATTTCTTTCATGCTTTCGCACCGGGGAGAAACTGAACTTTGCGTTTCGTTGTGTAACGAGGGTTCCAGTGCAATGTGTTTTGTCAGCAAGGAGAATTTGCAAACCTGGGATGTGACACATCTCAGCTAAAGCCTTGTGCTCCCTGTAGTGTCTTCCTTTCAAACACAGATTCAAGCTCTTTTTAAAGGTTTAGTTATTTTTTTTTTTTCCTTTTCTTGTTCTGGTGACATGAATTAACAGACGTGAAGCTTCCAGGAGTAGATTTAATAATATCAGGAAAAATACTGGTGCTTTTGCCACCAATGCCATTTAATCTGTTTCAGCAACGAGATCAAATGACTTGCCAAAAGTTTGAGTGTTTTCCAACAATAGGATTCCTATAGTAATATGAGAATGTCATTGCACAGGATATGGTACAAAAGGCAATGCAAAACTCCACTGTGAATGATTTAGAAAAGAAAATAAATGTTTCCTCCTCTTTTTCTTCCCACCTCAATTATTCCCATCTTTCCTGTTCCAGAAACAGCTACTTTTTAAAGTTAGATGAGCAAGAATTAACCAATCTATTCCAAGGGATCTGTGGGAAATTGGAAGTTTCTACCTACAGATTATTGCTAATCATAGGAGATTACTTTGATAAGAATAATTTACCTGTTCTATGCAATCTGCAATGTGGACTTCGACAACTTGTTCTTCTTTGGCCCTGTAGTGTCAGTCTTTTGTGCTGAAAATACATTTGAATGAAATTCATGAAAGGCCATCTGGTAAAAGAAGCCTGTCTGGATCTGATTTATCTCTGGCTAGCCCTCTGGATTTCCTTATGCACTGGTTGACATTCACAAGTTGATGTTCTCCTGTTGTAGTTTCCTGCTTGATCTGAGACAACTGGGGGTTTCCTACTGTAAAGTGTTTGAGGAAAACATTGATAACTCAGTGGAATTTGTTGCTTTATTATATAGGGGCTTTTAATCAAAATTTTGTATTTTTTAAGGTCTTGCCATAACTCAGTCCAAGAATTTCTCCTTTATCCTTCCCTGCAAGCTATTCTCTATCTAGTTGTTTGAAGAAGTAAATAAGACAGCACATGTAGCAGCTACTCATCGTGAAGGCGTTCACATGTAACTCATCACACTACTGACACACTGAGAATAACCCTTCCCCAAGGCTCCCCCCAGCAGTTACCCCATCCCACTGCTTGTGAACCCTGATGGATTTTTCTCCCTTGCTGTTTTTGTGCTTCTCTCTGTGCCTCACGACAAGGTGAGGTGCTCCAAGGGCATCTCACCCACGGTTGGTGCCAGCAGTTACCGGCGTTAGATCAGGTTCACTGACTGCGACTCTGCACGATTTCTTTGCCAAAAAACATGTAGTGGGCCCTCTGCTCTGGCTGTTTTCTGGATTCTTTTTTTTTTTTCCCCACACTGTGGCTAATGAGTCCAGCTGTTTGCTCTGCTGCTCAGGACTCTCTCTTGCTCAGTGACAAAAAACAACCTCTTTTTTCATGCCAGCTGTGGATAAACACAGTGTCATTGGCATCTTGCAGTTGTGCTAGTGAAGCGTTAAAGGATATTTTAGTGTACTTTATTTTAAAAAAAAAAAGAGGTTCATCAAACATCCTGGAAGTGCTTTGAGGTGTGGTGGGACTGGAGGAGATCTCTTGATTTCTTCTTTCCCTTCTTCCCTTCACCCAAGGAGACAAAGCCATGAAGCCTGTTACGGTGAGTATGCTTTAAAAAACACTTCTTGAGGGGGACCTGAGTTAAATTCCTTTGTTAATACAATGTTACATGTAAACTGAAATTCTGCTTAGCAAAAAACTTCTGTGGCAGGCTGTCTAGGTGAAAGCAAAATAATACAAAAGCGCTTAGCGGCGGTGTGACATGTTGCTGTAAAGCAACAGCCAGGAATGCCAAGAGACTTCAGTCCAAATGGAGAATTTCTGAAAATTAATTTTGGATGCTTGATAGAAAATAGAAAGTAACGTCATTTCTGGCAGAGGGGTTGACAACAGACGTAATGCATCATTGCTATGGCCCAGCCTGTGTGTTAAATGGAAATTAGCTCCATGTAAAAATGCTGCAGAGAGAGTAGAGCTCACAGAAAACCAAAAAATAACAAAAGCAGAGGCTGAGGTACTGGTGTAATAGTTACCCTGAACTGGAGACCTTCTGCTGTAATAGAATTGGTGAACATGGCTTGAATTTACTGCAGTTCTTTAAAGGTGACTTAATGCAGATGAAATCAAGCTCACAGTGTCCAGCCCGTTCCTGGGCTGGTTTGTGCTCCCTGTTCTGCAGACAGCACAAAAGGGATGTTTGTGGGAATCTGCATTTCCCATCTTCCCTGATCCCTCCACACTCATGCCTGAAGCTATGGAAATCAAAAGCAGAGATACTGGAGCTTTGGATCGGCCCTGAACACACTGTGAGACTGTCCACATCCCTGCAACAGGATCCAGGGGGTGTTTCAAGTGCCTCTCCTGCGAAGGGGGAGAAACAGATCCCAGGGCAACCAGATCATTTACAGGAGCTCTTTTCCCTCCTGCTTGCACTCCGTTTAAAAGCACATTTTCTGAGCCATCTCCTCCAGAACACTGGAAATAATGTTCCTTTCTCTGTGCTTTTCCCCAGGGGTGTCACAGAAGCGATGGAGCACTGACAGTGGCAGGACATGCGCAGGCCTTCAGCAAGAGAGCGCTGGGGGGGGAGCAGCGAGCTCTACCCAGGTGAAATAAATAAATTCTGTTTGGATAGCAGTCAGCAGAATGCGTGAGGGTTCAGAAAACAATCAATGATTGCTGAGCAGTGTGTTTGGACTTGGTTTTGTGTAGCTAGGCTTAGTTTGGGCAGCAGAAAAGCCAAGCGAAATGATGGCCAAGTGTCGTGGTTCTGAGCGCTCTTGGTCAGGGGGCAAAATGCATTGCATGTTTTGTTGGGGAGAAGAATTTGTTAAAAACACCCCAGGAGACCAAATCAAGTGGCATCCCAAATATCAGCACACTCTGCCTGAGATGTTCTCAAGATTAAGCCTGAGCTTCACCTCACCACAATTGCTTTGTGCAAGTGCGGATTTTTCTCACGGGGTGCAGTGAAGCTTGAAAGCTCCCAACGAGCAAAGGATCTGCTGGGCAAACATTAAGGATCCGCTGGGCAAACATTAAGGATCCATTTCTTTGCCAAAAATTGGGAGGAGGAAATAACACATATATCCGAGCAGAAAAGGGAAAAGTGAATTATTTAACATATTGGTGCAGGAGTTTGTAGCTAATCAGGAGCGTTTTTGACATGCCTTTGGATTCTTGCAGGATGTCTCCATCTGTGCAGCCCTTAACAAAAGGAATAAATGTCAAATTAACTACTGGAGCATGGGAGATGCATCCAAAATAAAGTCTCTCAAGGAACATTCTTCTTGGGTGCCCTGTAGAAATCTTGGGGAAGGCGAGAGTTTTGGAAGGCAGGCAAAGGTCTTAAACCTGGAGGCAGAAGTAAATGAAGTGCAGAAAATATGAGGCAAATGTTGTTACAAACCATGAAAGAAACAGAGAAGGAAGAAAATGCTTTCCCTGGGGCTGTGAAATTATTGAATTGTCAAAACCACAGGCAGCTGGTTTAAAACAGTTGATAAAATTTATTTGGCATTTCACCTCATTAATAAACGCTCGATCTACTTCTACCCATTTGGGTTCCCAATCAGCTCCTTCCAAAGAGTTACAAAGGAGCCCAGTTTTGGCGGTGTTTCCCTGCACAGAGGATAGGAACACAGGAATGCTTTCATAGGATCTCAGGATTGGGTTGGAAGGGTCCTTAAAGGTCATCTCCCTGTATGGTTTGGTTCAGTGTCCCAGCTCTGGCACCAAAGCCCTGACAAGGATGACCCTGCTACCTGGGAGGTCACAGCACTGCCACCCTCATATTCTGAATAATATTGTGTTCTGGGAAACCCTTGTTGAGCCCTGGCATGGATCATCAGATGGGAGATGCCCAAATAGGACTGGAGTGAACTTATAACCAGCACCTAAACATGGGACGAACTTTCATCATGGAGCTGCTCCTCAGATCCTGCATGCCGATTCACTGTTCGGGTTTTTTATTTCTATTAGGATCAAAAGATCTGGGAGCACAGGGCAGGAGCAATCTAATCAGCCAATTTACAGCAGCAATGAGATTAGGCCAGATGCTTTATTGCATGTGACTTATGTGACCAGCCATGTGGATAATAATAGCAGGAGGTTTTAAACTCAGGTTTACTCTTTGTCAGAGAGCTGGAACATGAAAGCACCTCCTTTGACACCTCAAGTGAAGTAACGTATGGAATATCAAGACAGATGTTTGCTGTCATGGAGGGAAAATTAATCTGAGCCACTTTCAATCTCTGGGCCACTGTCAATCAATCTTGGACATAGATGTTTTTATATCATTGGTAGGTATCACCAAGTAATCATAACCAAGAGGGAACTAGTTAATTAAAATAGTACACAGAACTCTTATCTAGGTAACTGTACCACTTTTGTGAGAGGGATCATGGAGAAGTTTTTTCATGCTTACAGCTGGTGAGGTTGTAGAGCTGTGATGATCCTCATGCCCACAGGTTCTCTGCAACATGTGATGTCATGCATAGACCACCAGCTAATGATCCATAATATATTTAAATGCATTTCAAATTCCAGCAGACCATCATGAAAGAGAGGTTTAGTGTCTGCAACCGGTACATGCCTTTGCCATGTCCATTTTTAGACAACTACAAATCTCCAATGTGGCAGCAGAATAAATACTCAAAATAATGGTATGGAATGCACAATTTAAACTTTAATATTTCTTTTCCACCAGTGATAAGGCTTCATTGAAGTCTCCAAGATAGTTCAGAGCTGATTTCAAGAGCATGTGTTCTTAAGTGACAAAAAAAAAAAATTAATATGAATAGAAAGTTAACAAGAGACTTTGAACAAAACTGTCTGGTGTGATAGCTGGTAGATGAGAAACAGTTGCACATAGAGCATGTTGATAATTTGAATCTTTTCATTTGCAGGAATCTCTGTCTTCACAAAATACTGTGTTGATTTCACCGGTAATCATTTCCCAGATGATCGACGGGAATAAATCCAAGGGAAATCAGCCTGCTTTGCCCATGCAGTCCACGATCCCCCAGCCCAGCCCTTGTCACACGAAGCAATCTTTATCTAACCATGGGTCACTCAAGGTCACCAGAGCATTTTTGGTACTTCCCAGCAGACTGGAAGTTCAGGCATCTTCAGAAGACACCAAGTCACCATCGGACTCCCAGGTCACAGGGGAAAAGCAGTGTCCAAAGCAGCAGAACGGCTTTGCCTCCATAACTGTGACAGCCAGACGTGTGGCTGTGGGCTCTGGGGACCCTGGGGCTGTGCAGGACCCCAGCACCGTGTCCCCCACCTCCAGCAGAGTCCCTGCTGTCCTCCCTCAGTGGCCCCCACCAGGCCACACACCCCAACGTGCCTCTCCAGGAAAGGTTTCTGGGTCTTGCCCAAAATCAGGTGAAGAGCCACGAAAGCAGCTTTTTGACCCTGGACTCAAGGAGACCGGCGTGGGCCTTCAAAGCAGTGATGGGAGGGAGGAAGCACCACCCTCATTCCTCTCATGTGTCCACCTCCAGGTTTCTCAGAGGTGCCCACGCACCATCTACTATTTAGACAAGTCCCTCAACGTGTGCATTGACCAACCTCGAATTAAATGCCAAAAAACATATAGATCCACGTTGTCCTTCGACATAAAGTGCAGTTTGTCCAGATTAACAGCAGATGGAGTAGATGGCATAGCTAATGGAGAGCCCATGGAGGAGACAGCTCCAACAAAGCTCCCAGGAGCAAACAGGACTCCACTCAGATCAGAGTTGAGCGCAGACTTCACAGAAAATAAGGTAATTAATAAAGTGGAAACAAAGGAAGGCTGTTTGGGTAGCAAGTACCCTTTGCAAAGTGTCCTCATCTCAGAACTTCCAGCATTTGTGGATATACCCAGGGGACACCATAACGTAGTAGCAACAAAGAAGGAAGAGGATGAGCATTCGGGCAGCTCTCACACTCTGTTTTCCCTCCAACTTCCTAATTCGAGTGATAAGCCAGGTAAGTCATTCCATAAACCTCAGTCTGGTGGAGCAGAGGCTCAGGCTGGAACAGACCCACCGCAGTGATTTTGTGTGAGCAGATAACAGTAGTGCTTGTTTCTGCAAAGGCACAGTGAGTCAGAGCACAGCCCAGCTTTCAGTTCCAGGACTGCCATGAATATTTGCCATGCTGCTCATCAGCTGATAGGGAAAACTCTACCTTTGTTTTCTGCACTAATCCTCTATTTTTAACCATTTATTACCGTAATTTATTTTTTTTTTCTCTTAGCAATATGCAAGTGCTTATCCCCTGAAAATAATTCGGTCTTTCTTTGAATAAGGGCTGAATTTCAAGGTGTGAAATTAAGAAGATGATTGCACTGAGCTCGGTTTTGTGTTCCTTGCAATTAAAAATTATCTTCTTTTCAGCTTTTATTTAGAAGGCTACTGTAACAAACCCAGAGCTTTATAACTACTGGATCCAGGTAAATGGTTTGCAGATCTTGAACGTATTTGTTTCCAACATTTCCAAGCATTTTGCAAGCATAAAATTTCCTCTGCAACATTTCTCTTGGGGAAGGGAGAGGTGCCCTGGGGGTTGCTTGGTGCCCAGGGTGGTACAGCTCCTGCTGCACTGGGCATTTTACAGTGCAGCTGTTTTCCAGCACACTTGGATAACCACAGCTGAGTTTATTGACTTTCCAGGAAGGGGAGGTGGATAGGAAGAATGTCAATGAGTAAGTCTGGTTTTTAGCAAAAGGAGGATGATTAAAACTTACCCCCCCTCCCCGTCTATCCCACAACTTTGGCTACATTTAATTGCGATTACCTTGTTCTTATATGGTCTTTTTGATCCAAGGGTCAGTGTATGAACATAAGCTACTTCCTAAAATTCCTCTGTAGCTTCATCTTCCCAGTGTGCAGATGGGAAAAAAAAAAAAAAAAAGGGAGAGATGAGAAGCTGCATCTTGTCTTGAGGGCTGGACAAGGTACAAACTCCTTGAAATTACTGCTGCTTTCCCTTTCCTGTGTCTGAAATCAGTGACACTGATCCTGCAGCTACAGAGGTGCAGGAGCAGCACCTGAGAGAAAATATTCCTCTGTGTTTCTAAGCATAATCCAGACTGCATGTTTTTTGAGGGGAGATGGCACAGTGGGAAGCAGGAGAGGGAAGATGCCAACCAGTGCTAAAGGGTTGGAGGGTGAAACCTAAATGGATGACAGCATCAAACTAAGCTTTTCATTGAGTACATCCTAAGTTCAAATAATAATGTCCTTCTGAGGTTTCCACAGGGAGTGTTAGGTATTCAAGGCTTTGTTCAAAACTATCTTAGGTGTCTCTACCACAGAAACAAGGATTAAAATATCACTGAGCCTTCCCTGGGCTGGGTGATACCATGGTGGCCATGGAAGAATCACTTTTACCAGAAGCAATTAGAAAGTGAAATGGGGCACTGCTCACAGTTCCACAGTTTTACTGAAAAGAGGAAATCAGTGAGGTAAGGAGCTGAGAAATACTGGTTTCTGAAAAAGGACTTCCACCATTTGTGTACACAAGAATACAGGTGTAAATAAACATGGGAAGTGTTACCTTTTTAACTGCTTCCACCTTTTGTGTGAGCCATAATGTAGAACGTAAAGATATATATTTCTCTTGCTCAAACCCTTTGTAACATATAAGAAGGTGTTTATCAGCTTGTTACAACTTTCCTGTGTGAAATTTGTATAAACAACCAGAATAATGCTGGAAAACAACAGCCTTTCTCCCCAGGATCACTGAAGTAATGAGCTCTTGCACTGCCATCAACCATTAAATGTGACAATCATGAGAAACCTGGTTGAACACACGAGAAGTCCACACTGCTTGTTAAAATGAGAGGCAATTGATGTGGTTTTAACCTGGGAGGAAAGAAAAAAAGTGTTTTCATTCAACCCCTTTAGTTCTGGGTGAAATGATGGAGAGAAGTGATTAATATGAGATCAATCATAGAATCATTAAGGTTGGAAAAGGCCTTCAGGTCCAACTATCCCCCAGCACTGACAAGCCCACCACTACCCCATGTCACCAGGTGCCACATCCACACGGGCTTTTAAGTCCCTCCAGGGATGGGGACTCCACCTTTCTGGGGAAGAAATTTCATAGGGCAATATATTCCCAATTATTTTAGCTATTTTTTTCCTCCAGTATTTAGTAGCTCAAATTCCCTCATGTTAAGCCTTAATCTGCTAAATGGTTATGCCATTAAATGTTTGCGAAATGAAATGTTTAAAAAGAAGGAAGAACTAGCAATGAAGGGGCAGCAAACAACTTTTGACACCATGTCAGTCCTTTAACATGGCTATCTTATTGGCTGAAGGAACTGCAGAGAGCACTTTGTCCATCATATTTCTGATGACCCAGAAAGTTGGAGTTTATATTGGTTTGCAGCTGGAGGCAATACCTTCCTGCCAGCAGAAATACAAGTGGTAATAACATCACCATGGTTTAAAAAAAAAAAAAAAAAAAAAAAAAAAAAAAAGGTGAAGAAAAATTACTTTCAAGGCTACACTTCTGTGTATGAAATCTGTAAATGGAGTTTCCAGGATGTACAGGCTGCTTTATTAGGATCTGAATTGGAATGAGCACCCAGATACTTCTCTGCATTACAGGTACTGGGGCCAGGTTTGCTGTCTCCTAAAGGGCCAGTTGAGTCATGGCCTCTTTGGAATGTCATTTTCCCTAATTTTTTTTTTTTTGTGACTTCGCTAAAGTAATGATAACTCTACTTACAGGATTATTCATACTGTTTCGTGTTCAAATCCAAGCATTCAAGACTTGGCTTTGCACAGACCTGGATAACCTAATCTAAGGCCCTGCTTTCAGCAGGAGGCTGCTCCAGGTAATCTCCAGAGTTATGTGTTTCCGCCATGTGCCACAGATGAAAGGGATATTTTAGGATTATTAATGAAATGTAAATCTTGGGCTATGCTCATGGATGACAATTATATGTAGAAAGCCAAACCTCTCAGGCTCGGTGTTCAAAGCCGTGTTTCGTGCCTAGAGCATCCCAAGGATGGAATATGATCTCGTGATTTCATCGCTGTGGACTGTATCTTCTACTGGCTCCATTGTTTTGGGCCTCTACATCCATCATCTGGCGAGAAATTGAATTCTGAGTGCTGGAAAATCCATGTTACATGTGAAGTCAGACTTGAACTGTGGGAGGACGCAGAGTCGTGGGGCTTAAATTTGTTTATTTCAGTGAGTGACCAGCATTTACATCCCTTGGGCAGCTGGAGGAGCGTGTGAAGAGGCCCACTGAGAGCCACAGGACCCACCTCAGAGCATGGCCAAGGGGAAACCCTGGCCAGGCTCCGTGGGGTCCTTGTCACGGGTGATGGATGTGCATCACCCTCCCTTTGGTCACAGCTTTTAACAAGCTGTCAGAACCTGCTAACGCTGCTTTTCAGGGAATGCTGCAATTTCCTTCACTGTCTGCAGCTGATGTCTCATAAATACAAGGTAAGTTAAAAATCAAAAGATTAGTCTTGTTTCCGCTGAAGACAGGAACATTTTTAATCTTAATTTCTCACTTACATTTCGTGAAGTATATATTCCACATGAATATCTAGTTTTCCATCCATCTTTTACAATCTATTACCTACTGGGCTCTATGCTGAATTATTAAAAAGGGGCAAAGAGAAGAAAATGGAACAAGTTTAAATTCCTTTTGACCTCTTGATTAAACAGTATCATCACTTTTCCATGGAAGATTATAAATGCCAACGTCTGAATTTATCTGTTTAAGCTTAAATAACTGCAAACCTCTTGGTGCCTGAGCATCTTCACAAACCTCAGCTATTTTCTAAACCAGAATAGTTTCTGCTAACAGCTACAGTTTTGTTCTTCTTTTGTTGTTGTACCCAAAACTGCTGTGCAGAGTTATTAAGGAAGAACCACTGAGGTGGAGAGTAAATCCAGTCTGGATGGTGGGTGCTGTGCTGGCTTCCTCAGCTCTGTGTTGGGATACAGAAGATGGTCAAGGAGGGTTGGGGGGAGATGAAAAAAGGGCATCTCATGAATCACATTCCTATGTAAACATGAGGGGACAGGACAAGGGGAAATGGCCTCAAGCTGTGCCAGGGGAGGTTTAGATTGGATAACAGGAAACACTTCTTCATCAAAAGGGCTGTCCAGCCCTGGCACAGCTGCCCAGGGCAGGAGTGGAGTCCCCATCCCTGGGGGGGATTTAAAAGCTGTGTAGAAGTGACTCCTGGGGACGTGGGTTACTGGTGACCTTGGCAGTGCTGGAGGAGCAGTTGGACTCCATGACCTTAAAGGTCTTTCCCAACCTTAATGATTCTGTGATTCCATGAGTGAGTGAGGGGTTGGAGGTGAATGACACACACTGGGGATGGTTGTATGGACGTGGCCAGCAGGAGCTGTGGGCACTGGAACCAGTGGGGGTGTCCAGGGGAGTTGCATTGCCTGTGTTCCTTCTGCAGAACTCAGGAGTGAAACGCTCAGGAGGCGAAGGAAACATTTACATCAGTGAACAGGACAGATCAGAGAGCTGGTGTAATGGAGCTGCTTATGCCTTTTCCCAAGGAGAATGGCAGGTGACTGGAAAGCATAATTCACTTAATTAAAACTACCCGAGTCAGTGAAGGGGGAAAACTGAGATGGGATCTGGGCTTTTGGGGTGTTGAGTGGCCCCAGGTGATTATAGGCTTGTTTCCCTCTTAAACAAGAGTTTTATTAACAAGTGCTGAAGTCAGCAGCATGTTTTCTAAGGGGTAAATAACTAGATTTTAATTTGTTTCAAGAGCTGTTTTAATTTCTTTATGCAGTGCTCAGGTATGTATATATACATACTCCTACTGGAGTAAAATCAGAACAGCTGGTGCTGTGGGACTTTGAGGTGCTTCTACCTGCAAAATAAAAATATATTTGTGCTTTAAATACACACTTAAGAGCCCCTGATACTTGAGGTATTTGTGCATCAAAGGGAATGCTGTAGGTCACCTTTAAACTAATAT